TCTTTTGCATTTACGTATTTTGCTTGCATTTATCTGGCTCTGATTTCACCTATAAAGTGTCAATGTATAAGAAGCCATTCCTTTGCACAATAGTGTTAACCTACCCTTACAAAAGAGGAACTTTGTTATCCAGTTTCAGAAGGGAGCTACTTACTTTTCAAAGAAGATGAATCTACAGCAACCCTGGTCATGCTCTGCTCTAAGCAATCAAGAGAAAATGAACACTAGAAAAAACTAAAAAACTTTTGCTGTTTCCAAGTGATTATCATGTTAAATATTCTCTGTCCTGAGGGTGGGTCTTTTTGCTAATATTGCTGCTTATTGCTAAGACTTAAAATTTATTGGATGTATTCAAAAATATTTTTGAGAAGTACTTCTGAGAGAAGAGCGAAAGAACCCAAGTCTAGATTTAATCCCTCCTAACTGCATACCTTGAAGTTCACCAGCTTCTGTGCCCGGTAACACAGCAAGCATTTTCTTGACAGGATGTCCTTTAATGAAACTTTCTTCTAGACAGCAAGAAAAGATTGTCTCTATATGTTTTCAATAAGGAGCACATATAAAGCCCCAGTTCTTCTCCTGTTCATCATTAAATTCTTTGACACAGACAGCAAACAGTACCTCTCTCACTTTTATGTCCTAACTTCCATTTGACATATGCCTGCTGTAATAATCTGCAGCTTTCTGCTTCCGTCAGCAAGGAAGATAATGTCTCGAAATATTTTAGATCATATCATTTCTTATTCTTCCATCTACTTTTTTCCAGAAATGAACAGTGTCCACAACTGTGGGCTTTTTGAGTTAGTTTTGACATCTCACCATCATTGCCAGCATTATCTGACATACTCCAACAGAATATTTTTTTAATGCATACTTTTTCTAAGTCTGAATGTCAGCATGTATCAGAAAGGGGCAAGGAATTTTACCGAGGATTTCTTGGTGGTATGCATAAAATTTTGGATAGCATAAAGCTCCAGTGCAGGAAAACAGCCTTCTTCAGGCTAGCGGCAAGCTGCATTCTTAAATTAAACTTATTAGGATTTAAATGTAGTTTTAAAATGAACGTGTAGGTAATTTACCAGAGAATTAAGGATCTAAAGAAGTTGAGAATACGAAAAAACTTTAAAAAGGTATCCCCCCGCCCCAGATTCCTGTCAGCACAGGGTCTCCCTAGAGCAGGCTGGGCACCCCGCACCAGGCCCCACCTGCCCCTAGGCCTTCTCCTGGGCCTGTGTGTTGCACCAGGTCCCAAAGACATGGCTATTGCTATTTTTTTCTGTGTGAGACTTCCTGAAACAACACAAATTGTGTACCATATTAAAGAAGAGTTGCATTTCTTGTTTGTGTCCTTTAGCATGGTGCCATGAGGAAGCTGTGCACAACATGGCGGACAGCCTGGGACAAGGCCTTTGGGACCGAGGTTTGCGTGGGTGGTACTGGAGAACCACCGGGTGCTCCAATAACTCCGTGTTGGGACATCATATTTCAAATTGGAACATAACATAATGCAGCAGCATGTTCAGTCTTTTCCTTTGCTCCCCAGCTTTCCCTGAATAAATGCTTTTTACCAGGTGAATGCTTCTTCTCTACAGCTCTTCACTGTTGCAGTAAAACAGAATAAATTGTGCTGTCAACACGTCCAACCTGATGCTGTAGGCTATGAACACAAACATTGGCTGAAGTTTCTATTCACCTGGGGCACTGAAATTTTACTCCATCTCATGAGGCATGAGTTATAAAGTAGAGCTAATATGAAATTTCTACTGAATGATTTACTCATTTTCATGTTATTTAAAAACAATATTTAGAAGCAATTTTACTTCCCAAATTTCTAGGCATTGTCCACTTTGTGGTCATTTTGATCAAATCTGGCTTTTAGTTAGGAGAAATGCATTCACCATAAAGCTTGAGCTCTCAAATCTCCATTCAGAGAAATGCCATTGACTTCACTCGAATGTCCAAGACATTTTGCAGGCCTGTTGCAGACACTTACTTGCATACTTATTTTAAGTCACAGTTACCATGCTATTAAATTTGATAGTACTAGTCACTCACTGCAAACTTAGATCCCTGGGCTATGAAGCAAAAGTAATTGGATTTATAGAATAGAGTTACCAAAGACCCAATCTAAAATGTTCTGTCACGTTGCAGTCATATCAATGGTGGAACCCTAATAGTGTGTTTTTACAGTACTAGTAATTTCTCTGAAGTGAGAGGCAGCACTTTAAGCACAAAATGTAAGTACCTTTTTATAGCCATATCTAAAACAATTTACTTTATAGAGAACATTGAGCGGCAATAAAAACATATCTAAATAGTGTTAAAAGCATATTTGAGTTTACAGTTTTCCAAAACTGTTTTTTGAAAAAAGAATAAAAATCATGGCTATTCTAACCATCTGAAGGTAATCAGGATTGCAATGCTATTTATCAGTTGACTAGAGATTCTGCAACTGAGCTTCAAGATGTTAATCTGCTTGGACACAAGTTAGCTGGTCAGCTAAAAATACTACCCACTGACTGTTTACTTGCAGGCTGAGATCCCACAAAAATAGCAGGGGAAGCCTCAGACTTCCGCACCCCAGGTCACTGGGGATCAGGTGCTTCATGTGGGACAGTGTGATTAAAGGCTAAGGAAAATCCATGGGCTGACCATACTGCTTTCAATGTGATAAAGTAGCATTCGATGTTTCTATAATGCCCAGGCTGTCTTGTGCCATTTCCACCATAGGAGTGCAGGTTTTGAATTGGATTTTATCTTGCTCTTGGTGAAACAATTACCTCTACAGTTCCAGCAAATGTTCTTAGGGGAGAAGGCTGGCACTGAGGAATACTAAACCTCCTGCTGCTTCCCTTGAACTTGAAAATGAAGACGTGTTTTAGAACCCACTGAAAATATCTGAGGTCATGCACTAACTATGCAGTTGCAAAAAAATCCTTCTAAACTTTTATGAAGGCCAAGATAGAATTTCAGCATTAAATAGCCAACAGACAAAGGAAGTCCTCATTAGAGCTGAACAACAATGGAATCACCTTTCTTTTCTTCAGTAAAACACATACTTCATCATGTTTCTGTCTTTAGGTTATTAAGTGATGCTTAGTTGGTACTTTTTTTCACCATAAAATAGAAAAAAAAAATTTGAAAAAAAAATAATTAAGAGTTTGTGTACACGTAAATAATGAAGGTTCTAAACTTGTTTACTGAAACATTAACTGAATATTCTGAATAAAAATACATTAACAAAATTCACAGATATTGTGCAAATTTAATAATTTATTTTGCTAACATCTGCTGTCCTTGGTATGAATTATTCAATTCCTAGCCCATTCCCCAGCATTCATATTCATTTAATGAACAATCCAAGCAATAACAAGCCCTGAAAAACTAAGTATAAAACTGAAAACACAGCCTGCTTCTATATTTTGGAAAAAGGTATCAACATATTGCAAATAGTATCAGAATAATTTATTTCGGAGAAGCCAAAATTCTAAGTTTGTTACAAATTTAAACCTATAATTTCTTTGTTAAGTTATTGTCATTATTATCATATCAATGAGAGCGTGTCCTGGAAGATAACTCTTGTTTTAGGTATGACAGAAACCCCAGACTCTAAAAATTGCCCCCGTGCTTAAACATAATAATACAACAAATGTGAAAATCTTTACCAGAAACTTCTTTAGGTGACTGAAAAATGTTTTTGCAATTCAAGTTAGAAATCTAGTCACACACTAACACATTCATCTTCAGCAAATTATTGCCTGAGAAGATATTGTTAGTCTCAATCAGCTCCACTTTTATTATTCCTTCAAGCACACCTCCCTTTAAAACTTTCAAGCAGTGCCTTCACACACAAGCATTAGGATACCATTACACAATTTTCAACTTCTTCCTTGGCTCTGCAAACAATGCCAGTCCACACTGTCGTTCAGACAAATGTTTGCAACAAATTTCTTTTAAATTATCCCCTACAGCTACACAGATGCTAGAGAAGAAGTATTCAAAATAGCTTAAAACAAAACAAAACCATAAACCTGACAGCTGGCATGCTGCAGAATTTATTAATCACAGCAATCTGACAGATGAGCAAAGGATGGTAGCATACATGCTGCAATACCTATTGATTCCCAACCAATATCAAGGATTCAATATTAGGGATTCTTTGGAGAAAATAGTATCTTTCATTAATATGGGGCAATGCCCTGTTACCTGGGGACCCATGCCTCATTACAATTAAAATGGACACACTAAACAAAAAGTGTTATCTAACAGTGGAAAAAAAAGAAAAAAAAAAGTGAATGTCAGCAGAGTCCCAATTCTACAAACAAACAAAAGAATGAGACTATCAGTATAGAGAAAAAAAAATCTGTACGACGAGTGGGCCTCAGCTTTCCAAACCTGCTGTTCAGACAGTGTTCAGTCTTACTCTGTCACAGCAATACAAAACCAAGGGGACCAGGAGCAAGGTGGATTTTGCAAAACACAGATGCCCCAGAACATTTACCCAACCAGCCAAAAATACTGACAACCTTCAACTTGATATCCAGGCTTACTTTCATTGTACTTACCGGTATCTGAAGAATACTAATAGCAACTTCCTCAACTAGAACAAAACATTTTTGCATAACTTGAGTATTTTGAGGAATATATATAGTGCTCACTGTTGCAGTTAGAAATGGAACTTCACAACATTAGGTCCATTTGTGTCAGACTACCAAAACATACCTTAAATTTTGATTACAGGTACTCCACTAACATATATATCCAAACCTGCAGGATACTAGTGAGAAAGAGGAGCCCAGAAAGGTCTATGCAAAACTTTACAAAAGCAGCACAATTCTATAAGCACTTACTGCTTTCTGTAGGAAAATCCCACTGAAGAATAAGCCTAAAAACATAGCTTGAGATAAATCAAAACATCTATCTTGCCTGAAAAAAAATAGGTCTGGCACTGGGGGTCCTGCACTTCACTCTTGAGAAGTTGTGTCCTTCAAATATCTTACCTGATTACATGTATTAATGTCTATTCCACTTTTCAGGTATTCCACTACTTTGTCCAGATTACCAGCTCTGGCAGCTCGGAGAAAGCTTGCATTGCTGTCAGACTGTAAAAACACAAGAAGACAAGCAACTCTAGTTAGCTCCTGTTTAAAAGAGACCACAGTTTCATCACAGTGAAAGGTTTCCACATTTTATGTTGCAGGTTAATAAATATTGTGAAGACTTTATATTGCATCTGTATTAACATACGGATACATCTAAACAGGGCAATACTGGCACAAAAGAACTGCCAACCTGCCAGAGTGAGCAAAAAAGTGCAATAATTGCTGAAGTTCAAAATTGAGGAAGAAGCAATGACAAGACAGAAATCACAGGTAAATCATATTAAACAATAAGAAAAAAAATATGTATCAAACTTCCTAGGCATAGTTTTCTGCATATGTGCTCAAAACTAAGGAAAAGAATTACCCTGTTGTTATTGGTTAAGATACTTAACAAAGCATACGTTGGCTTTGGATTTGTACTTGGCATATGAAGTTTTATCACTACAATGCTTGTTCACTAAATGAACTGGCTTAGCACAGTGGCACGTACTGGAGAAAAAATAATATCCAAGAGCAAAAAAAATCCAGTGAATAGACTTTATCAGCTGTGACGCAAACTGGGACATGATAAATGGGTAAAAAAAATACATAATTTTTTTAAAAACCACAAAACTGAGCAGGAGTGCAACTGTAGCTAACCATGGAACAAAGCGGATGAAGTACTCAAGCCTAAATATCTAAATCCAGGATAATGTGGCAAACATGCTTGCTCATAAACTGCCTGCACTCGTAAATCCACACTCAAAGTCCCTTCAGCATTATGGGTTGGGGAAAAAAAAAAAAAAAGTTTTCATTTTTGAGCTAGGTTTTGGGATGTCCCGTTAAGCAAGGGAGCATGAAACGTTTCCACCCTCTCACGTTTGTCGACCACGATGCCACGAAGGCTATCTGAACTCAGCACACACCTCGGTGTTCACCCACGTGCAAACCCACATGCAGGTAAATTGGCTATTAATGTAACTGCTGATTCCAGGAGAACAAAAAGTTGTGCAACAGAGGTGGTATTTGAACAGAATTAGCATTAGGGAACGCACACAGAGACAGTAATGGCTTTCATACTTCAAATAAGCAAACATTAGGAGTAGGTTTGGGAAGGGGGGCAAGGCTGCTTGGTGGGCACGTGGTTAGAGGTGCCTCAGCCCACTTCACCTCCCTGCCAGAAGGGAAATCTCTCTTTAGCATCCTGAGAGTACCCTGAAAGCCTCCCAGTATCAGCTTATTAACACTGATCGACAAAGCGATTTATTTTGGTCACCCGATCCATTCCAGTGCATGTATTTTGGTTGCCCTGCTTATCGCACTGCACGAACTCACTTCACAGCCACCGATTCCAACCTATTTTAATCTGCAACAGATGGATGTCATCAAAATGATTCTTTTTTACAACTGCGCTACATGCCAAGACAAGAATATTTCCTTTTAAATTCCTTTCAGCAAACTGCAGCACATTTTCCACATCTTTTACCGTTAAGAAAACAGACCGTGCTTCTGAACACGCAGCGGGGTGAAGAGAAAGGTAGCACAGGAATTCACATTGACAGAAACCTCTTGCAGCTTCAGGCCGGAGTCAATCAAGCATTTCGATTTCAACGGGCTCTTGCAGGAGATCCCAGTTAAGGTTGAAGAACAACTATGAGCACTGCACCATCTCCTGTGTTGTGTACGCGCGCACACACACAAATACAAAATTGTATTTCGAAATGTAAATGTCTTTGAAAACCCAACTACATTGGTAAAAATGTTAACCACGATCAAATACTAGAGCATACGAGATAAATTCTGACACTCCTGAAATCAATGGGAAAAGCATCTTTGCCCTAAATAGAGCACACATTTTGCCTTTTGTCCCATTTTTAATCATACTTTACTACAACAAATTAACATGCCAAACCTGAAATCGTCTGGTTTTATGCTATTAGAGGTTGTTAAGGGAGAATGACACTACAAACATCTACAACTTCTTTTTATTAGAGAGAAATCCATCAGAGCTAGTTTTTCTTTCCCAGAATAACATGAAAGGCTAAAAACCTTAAGGCTCTCAATTATTGCCAGAAGCTCAGATGGCAGCTAGCATATTAATATATTTCATTTGTTTCTGTCTAAGAAGATGCAAACATGCACTTTCAAAGTAGATTCCTCATTTCCTTGGTGCATACTTTTGTCATCTCAAAATGACTGCAGTGCACATCACTTCAGGACTCATTGCGTACACCTGAGCATCGATCAAAATGCAGAATAAACACTTCTCGTCTACGTGAAGAATTATTACGAATTAGTTATACAGGATTAACCCCCTGCGCAGGAACTTTTATAAGCAGCATCTCTTGCTGTGTATGTTCCTGTTGTGAAATAACAGTGCTTGACACCGGAGAGAAGAGCCATAGGATTGCTAAAATCCCAGTGAAACACAAGATCTTGATGCTCCTTGGACGTGCCTTGAAAATACCAGACCGCATAATCTTTCTTTTCTTTTTAAATGTACTTTCTGCAGGATAACACATACCTGATATCATATTAGATGAATATAATTGTGACTGTTCTCTTTATAGTCCTGCCTATCCTATTTCAAAAGGTTCTCACAGGCTCTCATGAAAAGTATAAGCAAAGCAACTGACCACACGCCCGACATGACTGATGCCTGAAGCATCACCATGTGCTTACGCAGAGCCAAATACTTAACAGTCAGGAGTATGAGAGTCAATGGAGACTATATCAAATGACAGAGAGGGTCTCCTCTTCTCTTTTTTATTACTTGAACAAGCAAAGGTATTAGGAATCAGTGGAAAATATCAGTGCTAGTAGCACAGAGGAAGCAAGCGAGCTCATCATGCCTGGCATTTTTACAGCCTGTCTTGCATGACATTTCCACCACAGATGACTAGCCACCATCGTCTAGGGTGTCGTATTATTCCATACAAAAATGATGTTCTTATTTAAATCAAACTCAAACACACAACTAAATGACACGAAGCAGTTCAGCTGCTTCGCATACAAATTCATGCACAAATATCAGTGAGTGCTGGCAGCTGAAGGAGCATCCAAAGGTTCAACACCATGTTTTAAAGCTTGAAAATCCTACGAGTTAGGAGTAACTCATATCTCTATTTTCTTTCCTGGTCTGGTTGTCAACTCTAATTTTTCAGTAGGTCATCAGCAGTTTCCCCGTGCTATCAAGGTCTTCAAAAAGCATTTTTGTCAGGACTGCACTCTCAGCAATTTACTCACTTTGGCACATCACAAATTCATATCCATTTTGAGAAAATTGTCCCAGTAGTCAGCAGCAGCAGCAGTTTTCTATACCTTTACCATGCTAGGAACCCATGATTTGTGATCTGTGGACTTTTCCAGTTAATTCAGTAATCTCGTGAAATATTTTGTTTCCGTAAATGCAGATTTCTGCTTGAATTCATGATGCATTTCTGTGGCACAGAAGCTGGAATACTGCTCTTCATTAGCTTGTTGGCTGGTGAAGACGAACTGTCAACAAACTGTCTTTCAAAAATACTTCCTTTACAAGAAAGAAAATTAAGACATGGTGCCAGAAACCATTGCATCCTATGATATTTAACACGTCATCTCTCCCTGTGTACACACCTCTGAGATTTTTAGGAGCCTATATGTGGGTCATATGCAGAAGCAAGCACTCTACTAATAAGGAAAAGAAAAGATTACAGAACACAAGTATGTGGTAAGCAGCTACCAGCAAGGCCATGAACATGCAAAGCTGGCAATGTGGGAAATTCAGATATTAACACACTGATTTGCAAAGTCTCAGCTGGCATCTTGGCACATCCCTTGGGGTTCAGGTCATTCGAGTTAGGGACCACTTTGCTTACATGGGGCCACTAAGACTGCAATTTAATCCCTATGTCATTAACATGCTATTAAAACAAGGTACAGAGGGCTGCATAATACTGCCCTGGTATTTTATACCATGGAACAAAGCCACAACCTGGCTGAAGTAGCAAGCTTTATTTAATGTCCTTTTTTTGAGACAACTATGCTGTACGGTGAAAAATGTGCTATTAACAGTAGCTAACATTAACTTTTGAAGGGACAAATAGAGAAATTTCACAGCAACCAAGATTGAATCTGGGACTATTTATTTGCAGCTGTACAGATACCAAATATTGCTCACAGACTAGGTCAATAGACGTTAAAACGAAATAACAAAACCGGCCAAACAACAGAAAGCAATGTTGCAATACATCTGCTGTGAGAGAGCACTACAAGTCTTTAATGACTATCTTCTAGGTTAACCTTAGAACCACAGACTCATTAGGGTTGGAAAAGCCCTCCAAGATCATCTGGTCCAACCATCCCCCTACCACCAATGTCACCCACTAAACCACGTCCCTCAGCACTAGGTCCAGCCTTTCCTTCTTTGTTAACTTTTGACTGAGGATAAATTAACTTCAGCCAGAAATGAGAATTTTCCAGAACACTACAAACAAATAAGCTACAATGCAGAAATTCATCGTAACCTTAGGTATTCTCAAGGGAGAAAGCAAAAGCGTTGTCTGTAAGTAGCTGGTTGTCAGACATTACATATAAAAATGTAAGAGAGAAAGGACAGAATGCACGTTATCTGATTTTAAAAAGGCTGTGGATCCAACTTCTTTCATGCTAATTGCAATGCCAGAATATTGCCTGAATTTGAAACATGTCTCAGAGAGCCTGAGTAATTAAAACTTCTATGGAAATCAGTGTTTTATATTCAGATAGCCAGAAACCTTCCCTTCTGGGTCCTCTGTCCTCCCTCTGGTTGCCATTCCTGGCTCAGCACACCACATCACTTACAGCACATACCATGCGCCTGCTTCTCAAATGCATTTTATAGATATGTGTAAAAATAAATCATGGTGCGTAGTGTTGAAGTCATATGCTGTACCAGACTCCTAGGTATTTCTCAGCATATTCAGATTTCCTGGTAAAAAACAGTTCTGTGCTTAACAAGAAAAGACTGGGGTGTAGGAGCATTCGGTTTTCTGTAACTGAAAACTGCTTTCATGATAGCATTATTCAAACCATCCACACAGGTCCTTGGAAATCATTTCTATAGTAAAATTATTCCAGAAGGTTGGCTTTTATTTTTTTTTCTCCAGATAAGGAGAATGAACCAATGCCTATCCATAATCACAAACACCTCCGTGCGAGAACAGTCAAGCAACAAGAACTATTGAACGTTTATTAATTGACTGACAGGAAAAACAGAAGTCAAAACTGGTGCAAAGTAAACAAATAATAGTTTGACACCTTAATTTAGCATTTTTGATTTGTGTAAGTTTTGTATGTGTCAAGGTTTGTATCTGAAAATGAATAACCCTTTTAAACTTACCTTTCCAGCACGCACTCTGTGACATTCTACTTGGATTTTATGGAGAAAATTTAACCAGCCATAACTTTTGAAGAGTCTGGCCCTGCAAAAACTGGTTGTAGCTTGCATGTATTATATAAATCAAGACATTCAAACTACTAATAGTTATAAAAACGTCCACATTAAATTGAACCCTCTATTATTGTTGTACATAAAATCAGCATTAAGACAGAATTAGTCAGTGCATCAACCTTCAGGTTTATCTGACTGTTGATGCCATTTACAAACTCCAGAACAGTGAGGAGGTGTTTGTTCAACAGCTGCTTCTATAATTAGTAAAATGCTGAAGGCTTGTTAACTGTTTTTTCTTCATTAAAAAGCTCTTAATTGACTGGTGGCTCATCATGTTAATATATTCAGGTAACACCTGGGGTTGAGAATTCAGCCCACCACAGACAGAAAGTTGCGTCACCTAAACTCAGGTTTTTGTGGCTTCTTGATGTTATTTGGTACTTTAAAAGACACAAGGAAATAAAAATGACAGCGATGTAAACACATTCCATTATTTTTTTTATTATGAGTGTCAATTTCTACTCGTATCCTTGAGGCAACCACTAATTTTTTTCCCAATTGGCTTGGCTATTCTCTGATTTCAGCAACCATCTGCTCAAACCAGCCATGGTTTAATTGGGTGCAACTCTACAAAGCAACACAGATGAGGTGTTACCATGACCCAACTCACTTCTCACATACGTATCTTTTGCCAGTATGGTCGCTTTTTCCATACCAGCATCAAAATGTAAAAAGATAGGACTTGAAAAGGAATGTTTTTTTCTCAGGAAATGCTTTCTGTAAACCTTGCCAGCTACTCATATTTCGTCTTTTGCACCCTAACTTTTTTTTTTATATGGGGCTGAAAGTGCTGCTGCTATCCAAAGGACATCGCAGTAGAACAGCGGTGATTTTGTGAATTACAAGCCTAAGATGCAGCTCTGACTGCAAGGCTACAAAGGCTTTTTCCTTTTTCTTTTCTTCTCTTTTCTTTTACTAAACCATCGCAGCAGAGTTTCAGGCTGCAGTTCCGACATTCATGCTAAAACATGAGCTAAGTCTTGCACTTGCAATGGCATTTGTAAATCTTTTTGGTAATTGGTAAATGTTTTTAATAATGTTTTTATTTAAAATAATGTTTTCATTTAAAAGATTTTCAATAATGTTTTTAATAACACTAATGGAAAGATACTTTCCCCAGCTTTTAACAAAGTAATGTTCATCATCTGAAAGAAAAGAAATACAATAGTGCTTTACTTTCAAGGCCACTTCCAACCCCTTCAATTCTGTGATTCTGTGATTCCTTTGCTAAGTATGTTTTCCTTCTGTTATTTTGTGGAAAGACAGGAAGGAAGATAGATTAAATTACAGGTCTTAAAGAAATTATAGTATCTGAATTTCTGGATGAACAACATGCCCTATTTCCTTATAACAATTTCAAAAAAGAAAAAAAAAAACACATAGCTTTTCCCATTCAAGCGTGTAAAAGTACTTTAGATCTAATTCATTTTGCTGTGTACCTTTGCTTGCACAGAGTTTGTTAATCAACCACTGAACTAAAAAGCCCACAGATCTAAAATGACAGTCGTAACTAAACAAGTATGTCTCTTTCATAACCTAAAGCATCCTCTTGTCCAGAAAAAAGACACAACTGACCTTACAATAAAGTAACCTGATAATTTTCTTTTTCAGAGAGAGAAAATGAATCATAGGAACAATGAAGTACAAACAGGAAGACAAGTCTCCAGAAACAAAAGATCACCAGCAAGCCAAGTATCCTCTATCAAGATATTGCTAACAACATCAAAAAATTGATTATTTTAATCCCAGAGGTCTAAGTATATGTAATAAATACCACATTTATTTATCTGTCTAGGTTGGCAGTGATGGTTATACATTGGGAACATATAAATATTCTTTTAAGTACATATGCACATGAATAATTTCAGGCAGTTTGAATATTTAAACCAATTAATCCTGGAAAGTTATGAAGGAGATGGAGAAGTTGGCATGACTCTCGCTGGCACTGAGCTGGCCCCACGGCTGGAGCTGCCCTCCCCGTAGCGTTGCACACAGCACGTGCACGGCCCCAAACTTCACAAAAAATACTATTGCTATTTATAGCAAAAAGTGCTGCGTAGTAACAAGACGGTGAAATAGCTGTAAGTAAAGGAAAAGCTTTTGTGCTATACACTATATACAACCTTGGATTTAAACATTCAGTGGTTTCAAGTCAAAACAAGTTTGCACATATTTAAACTCAGAAACCAATTGCCCAGTACAGGTGGCTGTGCTAGAGGTGATGGGATTCAGAGGTGGCCCTTCCCCTCCTGTGCTCCTCAAGGTGAATACTGGCTCACCTAGACCTGCTACAGGACACGGAGGAGCCAAGACTATACAGTGCCAAGGTAGGTGGGAAGATTGATGTCGTGGCATCCATTACACATACTGGTAAAAGCTTTCTTATGGCTGCAGCCAGACAAGAGACAACGAGGCTGCAGCCAAAAGAAGATACAATGTGTAATGATATTCAAGACTTAAGAGTGTCCTTGAGAAATTAATTTCGCTGGTATCACCAGATGTGGAAAGAGCCGCTGCAAAGAAGAAGCTAAGAAAATAAAACTCAGTCAAGGAATGCATTGGGAAAATTCCCAATTATTTTAAGGGATGACTTTCATTCTACATTTGTCGTTACACTGAAACCCCTTCAATTCCTTTGCAAACTCCTTTTTGAAATTCCAGCATTTGCAGCGTACCTTTTTTTCCAGCCATTCTTTTCTTTCCACTGGAATGTACAAATGTTTAATCAGTTTGGGCTTGTTTAACCAGGGGAAGAATAAAGGACTACATTCAGCAAATCATGCTTCAGACTTAGCTTGTTTTTTAACACATCTTTAGGTCCAATAGATCTCAAATTAAACATGTTCTTTGCTAAAGGATGGATACATGTTTAGCTGTTTTCTTGAGTTTGGCCCAATATTAGAAACAGCAGCAGCAAAAGAGGAAGAGAAAACTAATGCAAAATCAACCCTTCCTTGAGCCAAGAAGCAAATGTCTTCTATAAACCCTTTATGACACTTAGCTGCCACAGACATCTGTAGGAGTCCTCCCACTACGTTCATTAATTTGACATACTGGACCCACTGCCAGCTGACTTTTACTATGTCAATGAAGGATTTGTGAGAACAGAGGCAAAACTGCATAGTTTTCTATGAAAAAGAATAGAAGTCTTTTTAACCCAGCTGGAGTTTCCTTCAAATTACTGTATTTGTAATGATATGTTATTTTAATCCATACTCATTTTAAAGTATAAAGCAACATCAATAACAGGGTCCTAATCTAGAACAGCACTTCAGTACTAGCTGAACTTCAGGCACGTGTTATCCCTGATGTCCCACTGGGCTTAGTCATGTCCTTAAAAACAAACATTTTGGTATAAATCCCAGCTTGGAAACAATGTGTGCACGTCTAAGATCAGGAGGAATGTAAAAATAGAATCTCAAAAGCATCTGGAAAACACAGTCTAGATTTAAAAAAAAAAATAAAGAAAGAAAAAAGAGAAAGAACAAAGAAAAAAAAGACTTGGGTTCAATAAACTTGAATGAAAGTATCATTTTGTCATTTCCAGAAACAACAAGGATTATGGTATGTTCACAAATGAGCCACAGGATCATTGTAATGTCTCCTGTATGACACTCCCACTTTCTGAAGTCTCTTAAATACTGATATGGAACCAAGTTTCTGCTAAATTAATGGAATAGTATTAAAGGAAGCAATAATATTTAGGATCACCTGGACACCGTGTATTGAGATTCTGAGGTGTTTGGAACACCTTCAGAACTTGGCAGACATCTACATGGTTTCCGTGGCAAGTTGCCATTACTAATGATGTCCCTAAATAGAGAAGTAATGATGTGAGAACACCTCTAGAAAGAATTAGGATGCCATTCCAAACATACCTAACAGAAATTTGTTTTTAACTTGGTTTAACAAAAATCTAGCCTGCAAATGAAGTTTATGACAGACTGCTGACAAAGAATTCTGTCACTATCATTAATTTTTCATCCTTTTCTATCCCTTGTCTTATCTCCAGAGGGCCATTTTCTAAAAAAAGAAACGTACTAACACCATCAGCGCTAATGAATCAGACAGCTTTACTTACCTAAACAGCATTAACCGATTGGCCATTGATTCAAATTCACTGGTACCATAAACAGAAAAAATGATTTCATGTTCCTCTGAGATGGACTAAAATAGATGCAAACAAAACGGGTGTTACTGAAAGGCAGCAGTTCCTAACTCCGTGCCAGTTCTGCCAGCAAGACTCGTATTAAGCACCTTACTGTACAGAAAGGTAGAACAGACACTGAAGTAGTAAATGAAGAATTGTTAGCTCTATCCCTCTATCCACTGGGAGAGGCAAGGTTTCCTTTAGTAGATTTTTTTAAATAGCCCAGTACCCAGCATGGACAGTTTCCTTTTGTCTCTCCACATTATTAGCTAATTCCCAATCAACTGGGAATTACACCAGAAGCTTATGTAAAGCAGACAAAACCTTTCTCCTCCTTAACTGGGACATTTGCTGGGTGTACACTCACTGTAATATTAACCAGTCATCGTTTCCCCTGAATTCCTACCATAGCAGTAGCTGTGAAACAAAACTCCTGTAATCCTGGGGCCAAACCTCAAATAATCCAGCTCAGGGCAGCAGAGGAAAGCACCAGTTTCACCTGACTTCACCTGTATGAAAGTTACATCGCTCATTCAAGCAGGTCATACAGGCTACCTATAATATCAAATTATATGTAATGATGATAATAATAATAACATGGTACTTCCTAAAAACAGTTAATTCCACATCAATGTTAAGAGTCTAAAAAATGTAGAAGGAATAGCTCTGTGGCTGGAAAGCCCCTGTTTTGGAAATCTGTAACTCCCACTTCTGACCTGCTTAACAGCTTAAAACTTCCTGACTAGGCTCCCCACACTGTAGTTACGGCACAGGAGTCTGGACCACGAGTCCTACTCCCCCACCTCTCTGGGCAACCTGCCCCAACGCCTGACCGCTCTGTCTGAGCAGAAATGTCTCCTCATTTTCCACCTGAACCTCCCCTGGCACAACTCGAGGCCATTCCCTCTGGTCCTATCAGTAGTTATCTGTGAGCAGAGGCCGACCCCCACTCCCACATCTCCCTTTCAGGCAGTTGCAGAGAGCAATGAGGTCTCCCCTGAGCCTCCCCTTCCCCAGCCCAAACCCCCCCAGCTCCCTCAGCCACCCCTCACAGGCCTTGTGCTCCAGGCCCCTCACCAGCTTCAGAGCCCTGCTCTGGGCACACTGCAGGGCCTCGATGTCCTTGTGGTACTGAGGGGCCCAAAACTGAACACAGCACCCAGGGTGGTTGCGGCCCTGTTGGTTGTGGTGGTTTTTACAAAGTTGAACTCAGTATCAGCATCTGACTCCCCACTTGAGAGTTATTTAGCACCATACGGTCAACTCAGGATAGTCAAGCTAACACGTTCCTGATTTCCCCAGCAAGGTGGGTCTGAAGCAGCAGGCTGTATTTGATCTTAGTTTAGAAAAGATTAGATTTTGCACTGTATTTCTGCCACATGAACTGGCTGAGTACCAGCTGAATTATTCTGGCCCTTGTATTTGGTACTAGAGCCTTCCTACTCAGCTCGAGGTGGCACTGCCCTTCGGAGGAGACCAGGACAGTGTGCGTGGCCACACACATACACAACAACAAAAAAAAGCACACACAAAAAAGCACAAAAGCAGAGGAAGCCCTGAGCTCACAAAGCACTGTGCTGGATATGACATTCCTGCTTGGGAAAAGGCAATGCACAATTTCTCCCTTCAGAAGACAGCTTGATTGGCATCTCTGATCTACAGACCTTTTCTGAAACCATTTTTATAAGGAATCATAAAAATAAATATACTGAGGTACTGTACACCTTCTTAGGGAAATAAGGTAATTCTTTGCAATCCCCCAAAGGAGTGTAACTGAATCCAGAGCAACTCGGTCAGTCCTCACCAGAGCCAAACAAAGCCAGGCCCTTACGATGAAATGCACTGAAGCCATTATCAAAGTGCCTGATCTCTGCCTGCTATGAAAAGCTCTGAAGGCTGAACTGAGAAGTATCCAAAAAAAAAAAATCACATGCTGCTGGATTTGGCTCGCTCCTGCCTCCTCAAAGAGCTGACCTTATCCAGAAGGACAGCCTGGTGACTGTAAATTGAAAGAAGGAGGGAGAGCTGTTGCAGAGTTTGCTTCTTTGTGCATTTCTTATCACAGGGAACCTCTATACGCTACCTAACAGCGTCAGGCCACTCACCTTAAGGGAAATACTACAATGCCCATCCAAACCAAAATAACATAAGATTTACATATTCAGCAACGCCTCCCAGCACGCCGGGAAGATCTGAGCTCCCACTGCCCTCCCTGACTGCACACTTCCCACCGTGACTGCTGGAGCTCAGCTGTTAATTCAACCCAAAGCTGCTCAGACCTCAAACACGTATTCTGGGACACAGCAGCACTTCTTGCGAGAGGTCTCCCCTTATCTCCTGAGCTGTACACCGAACCTGAACTACAGCTCCTCTAAAGCACTACAGCAGTTCCAACAAGTCCTCCGCACTGAATACCTGAGGACAATTTCATTTTAGATCAATGTGGGAGAAGATAAAATTTGGCTGCACCAATATTAAAGGTTTTCTGATATTCTTGTTCTGCCAGAATTTTGGCACTACCACCTTTTCTTATCAATTTTGATCAAAATAACCACCTTATAAATGAATTTCCCAAGCAGAGGGGAAAAAAGAAAAAAAAAAGATAAAAAAGGAGCACTTATTTTGCCACAGACATTATACAAATATTCCTCTAAGTGATTTTCTTCTGGTTTGCAGAGGTTTGCTGACGTTACTGCTGTTATCACTTACGGCACACCTAACCCGGGTCTTGCAAACTGTTGTCAATGTACCCCCTTCG